GCTCGCTCCTCCTTCGTCGTCGTCGTCGTCGCCTTCGACTCTCTCGCTGGCTCGCTCGCTCGCTTCGACCCTGTTCCTCGGCTTTTCGCAGGGCCAGCCCGCGCAGCCCTCTCCCTTTACCGCGCGCTCCCACGCCCGCGCCGCCCGCGCGCCCGCCGCCGCTGCTCGCGGCCCCCGCCCCAAAGGGGTCAGGGGGAGCGAGAGGGCGGGAGGGAGGCAGGCAGGCAGGGGAGGGGAAGGAGAGGTTGCAGCAGGGAAAGAGGGGCGCGGACCGGCGGATGGCATCTCAGGGTGCGCCGCACGCAGGGGTGGGAGAGAACAAGCATTGCCGGGCCAGAGCAACGGCCGCGGCAGGCTCCCACCCGGGCGCGATCCCTTTCTCGTCTCGTCTTTCTCTCTTTTTTCGCTTCTTGCCATCGTCGTAAAGGGGTCGCAGGCCCTTCGCAGGGCCTGCGAAGGGGCGGGGGCGCTGGGGCCCCCGAGCCTCCCTCGCGCACACGCACGCACGCGCGCGCGCGCGCGTAAGGGAAGGGAAGGGAAGGGAAGGGGTGTGTGATTGCCGGGGGTTTCTTCAGCTCTCGCCGCAAGGGTGTCAACACAACCCGGGATCTAGCTCGACGCTATCGACGCAACAACGTGGCCGAAGGGAGAAGAACCGCAGGGAGCTCGACCGTCGCGAGGGGGAGGCCGCGCGGGGGCGGCACTCGGAAACCATTCCGAACGTCTAGAATGCAGCGGCCGCCTGTGTGAAGGGCAGGGCCACAACCGACCTCGAGAGGGGGCGGCACGGGGAATGGTTACCCCGGCGGCCCCCGGCCGGATGCGTGGCGCGAGCCCGCGACCTTTGCTGTGCGCTGCGGCTGGGCCATGGCAGCCAGGAGGCTGCCCCGCCTGCCGCTCGCCAACCTACCAACAACCTCTTCCACGCGCCCAGCACCAACAACACCACCACAAAGGGCCTCGGCAACAGGGCGGCGGGGGAGGGAGGCCATTGGGGAAGGGGATGAGGGACCGGAGACGCGCAGGGACGCGTGCCTCCTTACAGCTGCCAAAACGCCCGTTCGCCCAACACCACCGCGAACAGGGGCCGCCCCCGCCCGCTCGTCAGGGAGGACACCCCCTCCAGGGGGACCCACGCCCTCGCCGCACCGCGGCTTCGCTCTGGGGACCTCCCCGAGCCTCGCTGCCTCGGCCTCAGAGCCCTCTCAGGAGGCGGCGGAGGGAGGAAGGAGGGCCCGACCAGGGCCTGCCTGCCTGGACGACAACCAACCCCGCCCGGGGACGGCGGGGAGCCGACCACGCTCGGGATACCCGTCCGCGGCCGCGAGGGAGCCCGCCCACCGAGGCCTCGCTCGCCGGCCCCGGCGCCGCCCGCCCGCCCGCCAGCCAGCCAGCCAACGCCAGCGAACCCCCTTCGTCCCCATACACTTGTCGCCGCGGCCGTTCCGCCCCCACCACCCCAAACAGGCCGCCCTCTCGCCCGCCCGTCAAGGCGCACGCCCCCTCGCAGCCCCCGACAGACCCGAGGCTCCGGGAACGCCCCTCGCTCGCCGCTTCTCCCGCCCACGGACACGGCCCAAGGGACCCAGGCCTCGCTCCGCCACCAAGGCGTCCTCCCCCGACCGCCAACGCCCCTTTCCGCCGCGCCCGCACACACCAGCCACAGCAGCGGGGCCCGCCCGACAGACCCGAGGCTCCGGGAACGCCCCTCGCTCGCCGCTTCTCCCGCCCACGGACACGGCCCAAGGGACCCAGGCCTCGCTCCGCCACCAAGGCGTCCTCCCCCGACCGCCAACGCCCCTTTCCGCCGCGCCCGCACACACCAGCCACAGCAGCGGGGCCCGCCCGACAGACCCGAGGCTCCGGGAACGCCCCTCGCTCGCCGCTTCTCCCGCCCACGGACACGGCCCAAGGGACCCAGGCCTCGCTCCGCCACCAAGGCGTCCTCCCCCGACCGCCAACGCCCCTTTCCGCCGCGCCCGCACACACCAGCCACAGCAGCGGGGCCCGCCCGACAGACCCGAGGCTCCGGGAACGCCCCTCGCTCGCCGCTTCTCCCGCCCACGGACACGGCCCAAGGGACCCAGGCCTCGCTCCGCCACCAAGGCGTCCTCCCCCGACCGCCAACGCCCCTTTCCGCCGCGCCCGCACACACCAGCCACAGCAGCGGGGCCCGCCCGACAGACCCGAGGCTCCGGGAACGCCCCTCGCTCGCCGCTTCTCCCGCCCACGGACACGGCCCAAGGGACCCAGGCCTCGCTCCGCCACCAAGGCGTCCTCCCCCGACCGCCAACGCCCCTTTCCGCCGCGCCCGCACACACCAGCCACAGCAGCGGGGCCCGCCCGACAGACCCGAGGCTCCGGGAACGCCCCTCGCTCGCCGCTTCTCCCGCCCACGGACACGGCCCAAGGGACCCAGGCCTCGCTCCGCCACCAAGGCGTCCTCCTCCGACCGCCAACGCCCCTTTCCGCCGCGCCCGCACACACCAGCCACAGCCCCGGCCCCGCCGCCGCCGCCGCCACCACAAGGCTGCCCCGGAACCAGCCTTGCCGGGAAGGGGAGGGAGCCGGCACCAGCGGCAGCGGGGCCCGCCCGACAGACCCGGGGCTCCGGGGACGCCCTCGCTCGCCGCTTCTCCCGCCCACGGCCACGGCCACGGCCACGGCCCAAGGGACCCAGGCCTTGCCCGCGCTCCCGGACGCCCGGGAGGCCCGGGAGCGCGCAGCCCGGCTGCGGCCCGCAACACAGCAGGGCGAAGCTGCTCGGAGGCAGGGAACGTGCTGCACGGCCGGACCAAGAGGCCAAGAGGCGAGGGCCAGCGTGCGCGGGTGGTCGAAAAAGGGGCCTTGCCCGCTCGCAAGGCCAACGGCAACGGCGGCAAGCGACCGTCCGCACACGGCCTGCCTGCCTGCCTGCCGTCCGTCGTCCGTCCGTACAGTCCCCTCGGCCGCCGATGGGCCATCATCCCCTCGCTGCTGGCCCCGGCAAACCACGGACGGCCTGCCTGCCGGCCTGCCTGCCTGCCTGCCTGCCTGCCTGCCTGCCTCCGCACACAAACTGCGGCCACAGCCAGCTCGCCCCCTTACCGCTAACCCACCGCCACGCCCGGGGAAGGCGGCGGCGGCGGCGGTGCCCTGCCTGCCTCCACAGACCAACTGCGGCCACAGCCAGCTCGATCCCCTGCCGCCAACCCACCGCCACGCCCGGGGGAAGGCGGCTGCGGCGCCCTGCCTGCTTCCGCAGACCAACTGCGGCCACAGCCAGCTCGAACCCCTGCCGCCAACCGACCGTCACGGCCGGGGGAAGGCGGCGCCCAGGCCGCCCGGCCGCGACCGCCATGGGGCCGCCGCCTCGCCCCGCGCGTCTCGCTCTCTCTCAGCCGCTGGCCCGGACCAGCCGCGCCCCCAGTATAGGGTTAGCGGCGCGGCCGTTCACCCACCACGACCGGGAACAGGTCCTCCCGCTGCTCCTGTCCCACCGGGTGGAGGGCTCAGAGGAAGTGGGACCGGAAGGGGGAGGGTCACCCCCACCCCCTCACCCCTACCCCTCCCCAACCCCCCCCCCCCCACCAACCACCCCTACCCCCACCCCCCACCCCCCACCAACCACCCCTACCCCCCCACCCACCAACCACCCCTACCCCCCCCCCCCAACCGCCGCCCCTTTCCCCTCGGCCACGGGCGCTCGGAGCCGAGGTGCCGGTTCCTCCCGAAGGCAACCCAGGCGCCGAGCCTTCCGTCTGCTATTCTCCCCTGGGCTAGCGACGCCGGCAACCGGTGTACCGGCTTCGGGGCCAGACCCCGTTGGCAGGGGAAATTCTCGTAAATCCCCCGCCCGCAGGCCCCGCAAAATGCCCTGGAAACCGTACGGTGCTCATACGCAGTTCCCCCCCCCCCCC